ATGGTATGTTGCGACCAAAATATATTCCCCAAAAATTCAAAATTAAAAATTTACATATACAAAACAATGAGTACCGATCGATGCACGACTCGAGATATGCCAAACGTATCCAATCTCTCGCTTCCCTGCAAATCGAATCAGCTGATCGTTCGACTATTCGAGACGGATCCGTTCTTGTTGGACTCTTGTTTGATTTTGTTAAGGAAAAGATTCGAGAAGGACGTGAGCAATGCTTGCTCGTGCATAAACGACATCCTGAAGAAGTTCGACGACTCGATGATCAAGCACTTTCGCTTGAACTGCGAGATTAAACATGGCCGCCTCGATTTGAATCTGGTGTGTAAAAACGGCAACATCACCAAGTCTCGATGGTTTCTAGCCAGAATACCGACTTGTACTAACGTTCACAAACGTGATTCGTGTCACAACAAGGACAACAAGGACGTAGAGAGCTGCGAGAAATACGGAGAGCCGCGAAAATCGATGGAGATCCCAATCGATCCTGTATGCAATGAGGAGGTGAAGATAGAATGTTGCAAAGAATTGGAGGAGCGAAAAACTACTTTCTATTCTTTTTGCTCGAACGACAGTTCTATAAGTATGGAATCATCTGTATCGAAGATTGAAAAGGAGAAAGAAGAGGAGAAAGAGGTTAACTTCGTGTGGTCGAGAGAGGGGCCGAAGAAGATGGAATTTGTACTTTCTTCCAAGAATGCGATAAGCCCGAAGAAGAACCGTGGAAAGGCGAAAGTTTATTTTGAGGTTGATGCTGAAAAAGGTGAGGAACATGATGATGAAATTAGTGACAAGTCTGAATCGTTTTTGAATGAAGAGAAAGAAGAGACGATAATGGAGGGATATAAGAGCGAAGAAATTGTGGATGAAAAGAGTTTTACATTTGAAAAGAGCGAGATACGTGAATTTGTCATGATAGGTACCGAGAATGAATTGACATTGTGCGAGTATGATTATTCGTCTGATAGCTTGAAGGAGAATGTTCTTAAAGAAGATCAATCGATGAGTAAAGTCCGCGACACTGAAAAATGTTTTTCGAATAACGAATTTTTCTCATCTGATAATCTAAATCAACGTGAACAGAAAGATTTGTGCGTGACTAATGAAAAGATAGAAAGTTTAAAAAAAGATTATAAAGAATGTCATCTAGAAGAAAATGTTGTGGAAATGCAAAAACTGGAATGTTCACACACGAAGGAATGCGAAGAATACTTGAAGGATACTTCTTGTTCAATAATGAAAAAAGACATTTCAATGGACAATGAAATATGTACTTGTGAATTAAGGAATAATACTCCTCAAATGGAAAATTGCATAAAACAAGAAATGAATATTTTATCAGAAGGTGTTGTAAAGTATAATTTTGAATTAAACAAAAATATTTGTCAGGTAGAAGATACGTGCAAACGAGAAGTGAATACCTTGGAAAAGAAGAAAAATTTGGAGGAAAAATATAGCGTGGATTCTATTTCATTCGTCCATTCGAACTCGACCAAGTGTTCTTGTTGCGGCAAGGCTCTTTCAAGCCCCTCCGACGAAGAAATTAGTGAAACGAACAAATTTTGCACGAACGAAACGATTCTTGATTCAAAAGTTCAAGAGACATCAAACTTAATTGGAACAGAAAATATATCGAATAATTTAAAATCTTCGAATCTTCAATATTGCAAATTTCAAACTAGTTCGATCATTTCTTCATCTCCCGATCGATGTTACAATACTATCAACAGCAACGCAACAGATTCGCCACGATCATGTCCAAATTGCGAACAAAACATGTCTAAACAATTTACTAGCGAAAAAATTTCAGATCCTCCTGTCCCCGAATCCATATTTATGTTCTGTAAAGATTTCAATGTGACGAATTTCTCTTCTACATCCGATGAGGAAAGTTTGAGTGAAAATTTCGAGACGAGGGATCAAGAAACGCGCGGGAAATTCAAATCGCCTTGCAGAAAATCGACTCCACCGTGTCGTCAAAAATTGATACATTACACAACGTGCGATAATTCCTCATGCCCTGCGAAAAACTTTCGTCGAGTGAGATACGTAAAGCCCGATTCGAAATGCAAATCGAGAGGGGCAGATGGCGTTCGAGTCGTTGCACGACACAAGAGTCGTCGAGGATCCGTGATCCCAAACAATCTGTGTAGCTCGTTTCCAGCCATCGATCGTATCAAATACCTGATACGCAAGAAATTGCGAAAATTGCTTCTTGAGGAACGTGATAAGGGAACATGCACGTCGAAGACATTTCTGAGAACCGACAAATACTTGGTCAGTATATCGAGTGGAAAATTGAACGGGGAGCGTGTTATCTACAAACCTTGTCCAGGTAGATCTCCGATTCGTTGTCCTTTTAGGGCCAAAAGTCGATGCGAAACTGGTGATCGGGCAACAGTGAAAACGTTCTCGGAGGGAAAATCGTTAAACAAGAATAAAAATGTGATTGGTGATACGATCAAAACAAAATGTCAAAAAATGATCCAGAATAACGATATATTCAAGAGAATCAAGATGGCGGATGTTTTGAAATCTCAGAAATGTGATTCGAAAAAATTATCGATCGACGCGCGGGATTTGAATAAAGAGAAATCGAAAATTAGAAAATTGGATAGTTATTCGTTAAAAAGTAGAAGCTTGAAGGATGATCGTTCAAGTGTTGTGTCTTTGAATTCGACCAGAGTGGTTTTCTTTGAAGACCAGGGTGATCATTTTATAAATCGAAGCTTTCTTCGTGAAAAAAATTTCGTGTTGAGGAGGGATAACAGAAACGTGGCGAATAATTGTGAATTAAAGAAAGATTTTTTCATCGATTCGAGATCAATAAGAAGTTATTCTAGAAAAAACTGTGAACGTAATTCTGTTCGAAATGAAACGAAAACGGAGAATAGAACTTGCTCTGATAAAATGAGATCTTTTGAGAAACGTTTGTACAAACTCGAGAGAAAGCAAAAAGAGGATAATAATCTCACGATTTTTCTCAACGATTACGAGAGATTGATTAGCGAGCTCGACGCAGATTTTAGGTTAAAATTGTTGCAATACGTGACACTTTGCAGAAGCGTAAAGAATTGTTTGATGAAAAGATTGCAACCGGATGACGTTTGTGAAAGTTCAACTTCCGTGTAACAAAGGAGAGGGGGAAAGTCGATTTAATCGATGGATCGATGAATTGATTTTGATCGATAAATAATTTTATATTATTGTTATTTTATTGTTTAAGATTTTTGTTTAAGATGTGCCTTTTTTTAGGTATGTTGATGTAATATAGTTTTTTTGGAAATGTAGAAGAGAAATAGTGCTGTATGTGGAATTGTTTTTGACAAATTACAATGAATTAGAGGGAAGAATGAATAAATATTTTTACAATTTTTTTCAATTGTATATATAGTTTGTATGTCTTTGATTTGTTTGTTAGAAGAACATATTTCAAATATTTAAAATTATTTTCAATTTAATATATTGTAAATTTTCAATATAGTAAATTGTTTTAATAATTCAGTTTACATTTACGTTTACAATAATTTATTGAACTAAAAAGAAAAATTAATTATTTTTCATATACCAAAAATTTAAAAATATTCAAAGAAATTGTATCATAGAATATATTCTCACAAAATACTAATTTTTATTATTAATATATAATTTTTAATAAATATTACAAAAAACTTAACCTCAATAGATTAATTCTATCCAATCGTTAAAATATAATAATCATTGAATGATTTAATATAAATTATCACAAATGAATATAAATAAAAATTTGATCCAAACATGATTTCCATGACAATGGAATAATTTTAATTCGAACAATTTTATTTTGAGAAAAGTGGCAATAAAATACGAGCAATCGTTTGTTGGAGTATATTTGCTGCCAAATGCCTTATCACATATCATGGTGAAAATGATAGTGAAATTCGAGTTATTTAAGGCGTGCCAGCCCCCCGAACAGAAGATAAAGTATTGTAGACCAACTATTGAGAGCAAGCAGCATCCATCCTTCTACCCAGATCGATATTTCCTGGCAACCACCGGGGAGAGGGTGCCCATCCCAGTTACTCTGTGTTTGTAACAATGCAAGTCGACTCCTAACAGCTAGTGAAAGATTTAAGCTGTCGATATCTTACATTTTTTTTCTTATATTTTTCGTATCCTTTTATTTTTTTATTAAGTTTTTTGTTTAAACGAATATGTTAATGAACAAATTAGATTTCTAACCTAACTTTCAAATAAAGATTTCATTTATATAATTTTTAACGTGTTGAATTCTTTTTGTAAATGGTTATCATGTATTCATGTGAAAATAAAAAATGGAATTTTATTAAAAAAAAAACAAAGTTATTAACTTAATTTCTTTAAAAATAGAAGTGAATGAGAATTAAAATAAAAGAATTGCATAATCCACTACAGTAGAAATGGACAATCTCGTGTAGACGAAGTAGGATATTAGGAACACTGTACAGTAGAATCAAGCAGTTTTACACCGTCCATATTTCACGAGTAACCTAAATGCTCGAGTATTTTACTTAGAGCCAAAAATTTATGTTATAAAGTTTTGATATAATTTATGTTTTCAACTGTTTGCGTATATTGCTTTTTCAAGACATAGAGATATAGAGAATTAAAATTATTTCATAATCTTTAAACAATTTTTCAATTACAATAAGAGAAATCATAAGATCATAATAGCAATAATAAGAAAAATTCTAAAACAAAATTATTCCTTCAACATTTTCTAAAATTAATTAAAGTGATATCTAAAGATTTTATTTTAAAAATCTTAATAAGTTTATTTTGAAGAAATTCTAATTAACATTATTCTTCATTTATTTAATAAAGAATACAAAATCATATCTTTAGATTTTTTAATAAAATTCATTACATATCAACCACTCTAGCATTCAAGCACTTCAAATATTTCATATTTATCTCAAATTTTAACACCTTTAAGAAAAATAAAATCAGCCTTTTAAAAAAATCATCTTTTCAATCCCTCTTTCAATTAAACCCACACCTTTTAACATCATCCCACAACCAACCTTTCTATTTTCCAACATCCTCGTTCGACTTCCCCTTAAAAACTACCCTCACGTAGTTTCCGTGTGCTGAATTACAGGACGTTGCATAAATAAGCCCGAGGGATCGTCAGAGATACGCGGACATTAACGTTAATACCGTTATATACGAATTTCTGTTCCTGCGTAACGTTTTGTTGTTGCAAAATTGGCCGGGGTACAACAAAGCCCCGCCTGGGGTCGATCTAAAAGGGTTCGCTGGATAAGACGATTGGCCAGTGATATCGATGCGTCGACCTACCATCGGCCAATCGTGTCGCGGCACCGTGGGTCGCGCATGCGCCTTGATCGAAAGCCAAGTTGGCGGTACCCCACCGACGCCGTGAACGACGCCAGGCGACGTCGTCGACGTTCTCCGTCGCGTACCCCGCGCTTTTGCTACCCTACTCCGCTCGTAATCATATCTGGACTTAATTATTGGTGAGTGGTGGTTTGCCCCTTGTTTTCAACTCACGACAAACCTTCATTTCTTTTCTCGTTCTGATTTTTTATGTGAAATTTAATACACGTGTAACACGCTTATTCCGTTATTGGTTTTTGAGAATCATTGGTGATGAGAGTTTATCGGGCTGGTTATTCCAAGAGTGTTTTTTGGGGGAGAGCTGAAGTCGTGGGGAGGTGAAGTTTGGAAAGAGGAGAATATATTTTCAGTGTGACCAGTGAGGTGATTCTGTAAGGAAACTGGTAAGATCTAACGTAATCGTATGTATATACGGACTTGGTTTTTTTTTTTTATGCAAATGATTATAGTTTTTATTGAATTTAATTTGTGTGATTAATTATATAATTGTTGATTTTTCGAGGATCGTTTTTGAAGAGTTGTTCCAAAAGTGTTTTTGGAGAGAGTTGTGAATTTTGATATGATGGAAGAGATTTGTGTGATGTATTTTTTGTGTGAACAAATGAGGTGATTCTGTCAGGAAATTGATAAGATCATTTTTGCACCTTCCTCAAAATTTTTTTCCAATGTAATGTAAAAAATCAGCAAAATTATTTGTTCTAAAGACATTATTTGAAAAAGTTTTGTGGAATTCGTATAAAAGAAGATGAATTTCATTTGGAAAAATTTTCGTGATGTGATCTGTTTCTATTAGAAAATTTTCTATTGAGAAGAGTTTATTCTATGAAGATTTGGGAATTTCATTTTGCGATATATGGAAAAAGTGATGGTCAGATCTATGAGAATCTTATTTAGTTCACTATTGAAAGCGGTTTTTTGGTGGTAAAAATTGATTGTGCGTGTGTGATAGTGTAGAAACGATTCGAAAGGATCGATTCGATTGGTGAATCGTGACTTTGGACTGCAATAGGGAGATTTGTGCAAGGATTTGGATTGTGTAAATGTCAGGGATCGGAAAAATATCAGAGACTTTTTCGTATTGATCTGTCACGAAAGTGCATCGGGTTTTCATTTTAAAATGAAACTACATTTTTATTTTGATAGACATGTTTGATGTGAAAATGGACGAATTTTTTTTAAGAAAAATTTTATCAAATGAATAAAATATCTGAATTATTTTCTAAATTAATTAAATTTGTTATATAAAGTTCTGTTCATTTTGTTGTCCTAATCTAAAATCTCAGAAGAAATTCAAGAAAAATCAAGTTTCATGAATATATATAATAAATATATAAAAATATATGCACTATAATTCGAATAATTTAGATTCGAATCTAAATCAATTTTAAAATCAATAATCATTAACGAAAACTCTATATTCAAATTATATTTCACAAGATCGATAAGGTGTGTTCAGTGAGATATGTTTTAGATTGCATCTATTATTGAGAATTCGTGGAAAAACTAGTAAGGATGTGCAACGAGTCCATTAAGCGAAATCGGTCGTTTCCATCTTTCTCGTTCCACCCTAGCTCGTTGTGTACACGTGCTGTACATTTTCTGCCTTTTGTCTGTCACGTGCCGTTTTAATATCCGTCAGCCATTGTCCCGCGATACGTCTCTTTGCGATCGAGTCGATAGTACAACAATTTTTCGAATATAAGTCGATTGCCATTCCACCAGAATTTTCCCTGAAATTTTATCAAATTAATTAATTTTATCAAACAAAAGAATAAATAAAATTCGATTAATATCAAAATTTCCTTCCAATTTTCCAATTTTCACACTTTGGAAATTAAGAATAATTTTAAATCGCGTTTAAAATTCTAAAAAATTAACATACCTTTAAAATTTGTAATTCAATGATTTGAAATATTACATAAAAAATTAAAGTGATATCAATTTTTAAAATAAGAAATCGATTTAAATATTAATTAAATATTAATTAAAAATTAATTTCGTCCACATTTATCTATTTTGTCTCTAATTTTTTTAATTCAATTATTATTATTATAAGATTAGATTTTCAAAATTGAACGATATATGTAAATTTCTCGAATATTTCATATCGAAATTCTTGATATATCGCACGATGTTTGGACGAGAGAAGTTTAAGGGAAAAATACGAGTCGAGAGAGGAGGTGGTTTCTTCTCGCATTTTTCTACCCTCTGGAGACGTTCCCTGGAGAGTTCGAGGATTAGGGTTGGAGAGACTGCCACTCCAAACAAACACCCCTACTACGGGGTCTCCCCTTGCACCTCAATATCGAGAAGAAACGTCCTCACACAAGTATACCTTGGTTTCGAAGATGCGAGGGTTTAAAGATTTAATATCGTTTAATTTAAAGATTTTATATCGAATGGGTGGTAATTGTTTGAATTGCTCGTGGACGATTATAAGAAGTAGGATTAAACGTTTCTTCCATTTATTTCTGTGAAAATAACAAGTGAAAAAGATGACTTGATTGTTCCAAATAAAATAGAAAATAATTTTGAAAATAAATTACAATAAATTAATTGTAAGTATTTAGTAGTATTTTCATATGATTATAAAAATTTGATATTGTGTAAATAAAATGTAGAATCTGATAAAAAATGTTTCATTGAAAAATAGGTATGTATAGATACTTTTTTATAATTAAATTCTGATTCTTTCAATACTAATAATTTGATTTTTACTGAATTAAATTAGCATTAAAAGTTTTGAGAAAATGGAAAATTATTTTAACTTCTGATTTATATAATAATATTTGTAATAATATTATATAATATCTAATATTTTATAATAAATTTGTAATAACTAAAATATAAATAAAAAAAATATAAATATAAATATAATATAATATAAAATATAATAAATTTGTAACAACTATGATATTTTGAATGTCAAGATATAGGTATACAAGAGTACATATAAATTTGAATATCAGAAATAAAAATAATTTTGTAATATTTACTTCTTGATCTCGAATATGAATTATAAAATTTTATCTTACATATCTTGGGAGAGATATCCCTTTATTAAATATTCCTGTTAATAATGAAATTTATTCATGAGATTTATGTACTTTAGGGGCTGCCAATTGTCAACGCGACCATTTGCAGCCAGAGAGCAACCCCAATAATTGGAAAATGTCCGGATTCGCTGCGGCGGGTCTCGTGGCTTTCGATTCCATCAAGTCCAAAGCATCGCAAAAACTAGCTGGGTAATGTCACGCATGCTCCTATACAACACACGAAAAATCGTTTAAAGCTATATTTAGCCATCCATTCCTCTGTATCTGACTATGCGCGTAATTAAACCCACATGCTCCACGCGATTCTCTTCAATTCCTCGTTATGTAATATCCGTATTATTTAATAAACAATTCTTTTAATGAATTTTATTGAACCGAATATCTATGTTTCAGTGAAAGAAGAATTTCAATCTATTCAAAAAATTATATTAAAATCTTTAAAAGAATGAATTAAATTTCATTTAATGCAAATTTTTTGTAATAATTTATTGTAATAAATTGTAATAATTGTAATGTAATGTAATTGTAATATAATTTTCTTTGATTTGTAGCTTTTAATTGTACATATATATATATTTCTAAATTTTAGATCTTTTATTAAAGATTAAAGATTCCAAAGTGTCTGTTTGTTCTTTTGAAAAAGAATTGTTTTTATTATGAATGCTTCTATTCTTTTTTTTTGTATTTAATTTGAAAATTTATTCAAAATTTGTGACCTCAAGTTAAAATTATATTAAAATCTTTAAAAGAATGAATTAAATTTCATTTAATGCAAATTTTGTTGTAATAAATTGTAATAATTGTAATGTAATGTAATTGTAATGTAATTTTCTTTGATTTGTAGCTTTTAATTATTTTATTATACATATATTTCTAAATTTTAGATCTTTTATTAAAGATTAAAGATTCCAAAGTATCTGTTCTTTTGAAAAAGAATTGTTTTTATTATGAATGCTCCTATTCTTTTTTTTTGTATTTAATTTGAAAATTTATTCAAAATTTGTGACCTCAGGTTAAAATTATATTAAAATCTTTATAAGAATGAATTAAATTTCATTTAATGCAAATTTTGTTGTAATAAATTATAATAATTGTAATGTAATGTAATTGTAATGTAATTTTCTTTGATTTGTAGCTTTTAATTATTTTATTATACATATATTTCTAAATTTTAGATCTTTTATTAAAGATTAAAGATTCCAAAGTATCTGTTCTTTTGAAAAAGAATTGTTTTTATTATGAATGCTCCTATTCTTTTTTTTTGTATTTAATTTGAAAATTTATTCAAAATTTGTGACCTCAGGTTCAGAAGAAGCAATGCTGGCTACGAGGAATTCGAAACGCCCCGTGAGGGTAGCAAAGACAACAAGGGATTCGAAGATGAGAGAGAATACAGTAGGCAAGCTTCGTTTGAATCGCTCCCGGAACCTGAACGGCCCCCATTGCGTCACATCGATACTTACTGCAAGCCAGAATGCCCCTGTCTATCGAAAAGATATACCATCGCCACTTTGGCTTGTATAGGTAAATTTTTAAACACATTTTCTTATCTTTCTCTATTCACATTTCTTCATTTAATTTTTTGATGATGAATCTGTTTATAATAATGAAATCAACAAGAGCAGAATTTCTCACTTGATTTAAATAACAAAATTTGAATCAGATTATATCTTATTATATATATATATATTTCTTACTGAAAATGATTAAATTTTTTCATTATATATATAATTATTTTTTTCTTATTAAATTTAATTTATAATAATAATTTTTTACCTTAATTTAAATTTCTTTTCTTTTCATGAAACATGTGACACACATACTAATTATGAATTGAATACTTTCTCCAATATTTCACATTTCATCAAAATCTAAAGAAATGATGTAAACTTCTTTCCAGGATTTGTAATCTCGTTCGGTATGAGGTGTAACATGGGCATGGCCAAGATGGCCATGAAGAATGCCACCGAAGACAATGACAACCACACTCTCAGGTTCAACTGGACAGTTGGAACAGAGAGCGCCCTTGACTCGTCCTTCTTCTGGGGCTATCTGCTGACCCAAGTGCCAGGAGGATTCGTCGCTTCTTTGTATCCCGCGAACAAGATATTCGGTGCTGCGATCGCCATATCCTCCTTCTTGAACTTGCTGGTACCTGGCGCACTGAAAGTGGACCCCATCGTCGACATGATTGTACAAGTTATAAAAGGTTTGGTGGAGGTAAGAAAAATGCGTTCATCCAATCTCTGAACAATTTGAAAAGGAATAATCCTTTTTCTTTCATTTCAGGGTGTCACGTATCCGGCTTGTCACGGTATTTGGAAATATTGGGCACCACCGTTGGAGAGATCTCGTTTAGCAACGCTGGCATTTTGCGGTTCTTACGCCGCTATGGTGATAGGAATGCCGCTTTCCGGTTGTTTGACCACGATCTTCGGCTGGACAGCGTCCTTTTACTTTTATGGTACGTCAGGATTTTTCTTTCCGCTCCAAAATATAATATAAATAATTATAATAATATAAATAATTATAATAATTATAATAATATTATAAATATAAATATAAATAATTTCTTCTTTCTCTTACTTAATTAAATATTTTTTTGAATAGATTAAATAGTGTTGTGACTGGATACACCTGGAAAAATATTTAAAAATATTAAAAATATTTTATAATCGTTAAAATTTTGGTTTTTGCAATTGTTGAGTTAAATTTTGTACAAAGTGTCATAAATATTGTATGTAAATAACAAATGAATTTTCAGGTATGTGTGGATTAATTTGGTACTGTTTCTGGTTATGGCTGGCATTCGAGAAACCATCGAAACACCCTTGCATCTCGGCACGTGAGCTTCGTTACATCGAAGATTCCCTTGGCCAAGGGCAAACCCAAATGGCCATGCCGACATTCGCCACGACACCTTGGCGGAAATTCTTGACTTCCATGCCGGTGCACGCCATCATCGTAGCTAATTTCTGCAGATCCTGGAATTTCTATCTGCTGGTGCTTTTTCAAGCTCGTTTCATGCACGAAGCTTTCGGCATGGCTCTACTTGAAGTAAGTTTCACAAATAATACTCATATTTTTCAAAATTTCTAAATTAAAGCTAAATTAAAAATTTAGCTAATAAAACTAAAAAAAAAAAAGATATAAATTACTTTAAATTTTGTAAATATTTTTATAATTTTTATAATATTTTATAAGTAATTTTATAAATTAATGTTGATTTATGATTTTTTATTTACCAATAAAAAGTAAATTCTATTCGTATTCGTTCGATTTTCACATTAGACTGGTGTCATCGGTTCGCTTCCACACTTATTGATGACAATGATCGTGCCTTTGGGAGGATTGTTGGCCGATTACATTCGAAAGCGTGGAATATTATCGACGACGAATGTGAGGAAGCTCTTCAATTGTGGCGGTTTCGGTATGGAGGCTCTTTTCTTTTTGGTGGTGGCTCATGCAACAACGAAAAAAAATGGGATGGCGGCGATTATCGCGCTGGCGTTTGGGGTTGCCTGCAGTGGTTTCGCCATTTCCGGTTTCAACGTGAACCATTTGGACATCGCACCCAGATACGCCAGTATCTTGATGGGAATGTCGAATGGAGTCGGTACTATAGCGGGATTGCTGGTGCCCATCTTTGTAGATCACATCACAGAGAAAAAGGTTATTATATACATCATCATATGAATTCTTTTATATATGGCATATAGATGTAAATGTCTATAAACTGATTATCTAGAAAAAAAAATTAATTATAATTAATTTTATGTGCGTTACAGGATACTCAGAGTTGGAAAAACGTGTTTCTTATAGCAGCATGTGTCCATATATTCGGTGTAACATTCTATGCGATTTTCTGTTCCGGTGAACTACAACCTTGGGCCGATCCTAATATGGAAGAACAGAAGAATTTCGCTATGGATGAATTTGGACAAGTAAAGCCACCTATTCCACCACCACCGAACACTATGCAGTCCGAATTTATCGTATGTATTATTTCTTTTTAATATTATCAACAATTATTTGTGAAAATTAATGAATATTTAACAACAATAATCGATACAATCGAAATTTCGATATTATTTAGTTATATAATTATTTAGCTTGTGATTTAAGTAATTTTTTTAATAATAAAATTTTATAATAATATATATAATAATAATAAATTTGAAATGCACATTGCTAGTAAATATAAAAATATCTATTTAAAAAATGTATGAATATTCAAGATTTCAAGTTCGGAAGAGATCGGAACAGTTCGGGCGGAATCGGCAGAAATATCGATATTGTAATATCTGAATCTTCAATTCTCAAATCGATATTGCGTTTGATTATTATTTATTATGATTCGAATTGATTTTTAGAAAATTTTCAAAATCTCGTAAAATTCTTAACAATATTCAGAAGAAATTATTTTCTTCCACATGAAATCGATTATTAATATCTTACTTCAAAAGTAAGATAAACGTTAAGTAAGATATTTTATATAAATTAATATTTTTTTCGTTTCATAGAAACAACCATCCATGGGAGGTGGAGCAACCGATGATTGGAGTAATTATGATCAACAACCCGTAGACAATATGTATGCTCAACAGGAGAAACCAGTGATAAGTTATGGGTCGACAGAAACCAACACTAATAATCCTTTCCATTCGACGAATCCCTTCGCCAGTGATATAAACGCAAGCCTGGTACAACCACCAACGATTAATGATTATGCGTACGACGTAACACAGCAGAATCAACAGTGGAATTAAATTCATCCTTCAACTAATTGGACGGACGTAAGGAAATATGTTTAAGCTGATCGATAATTTTTTAATCAATTACGTTTATTTCATAATTGCGTCTAGTACTTTCATACTTTTTCTATTCGTTGTTTATTGAAAAAAGATTTTTTTTAGATTAAATGGGAAATATTTTTATAATGTTCATAAAAAATAGTTACTTATTTTTTCTAAAAATTAATTAAATAAGTAATTCTTTTGCTGTAGAAAAATATACGTAAACATATATTATGATAGAATTTTAAATACATATTAAAATATTTAATTATATTAAATATAGTTATAAGAATTAATTTTTTTTATAAGAAATGCTTATCTTTTTCATTGTTTCAGCAAAAGATAATTATTAAAATACAAATAAAAAGGAATATATTAGAATAGATTTTGTTATATTTCTAAGTTAAAGTAAAAATAAGTAACTATTAAGAAATTGGAGTACTAGAGACTTATTGAATGAATATGAAATAATTTCTTATTAACTTTTGATTTTATCTTATATTGATACAGTATTGTCGGCTTTATATTTTGAATTAAGTAAATATTCTCTTTTTGCAATACCTAAGAGTGCAGGGTATGGTGCTGTTGATGCATACAAATGAAATAAACGTAAAGAGAAATTTAACAGCACAAAAAGACTTAAATTATTAGAATAACAAGAAAATCAAATGAAATAATCGAACAATTTTTTAAAAAAATAGAAAATCAAAAATGATGTCAAAAAATGAAATGAAAGTAAATATTTTATAAACTTGAAATTATTATTATGGTCTATTAGTTAAAAATATCCACTATTTAAATTATAAGAAAAAAAGTGGATATAAAAGGCCAAATTTATAAAAACAAATGAAAGTTATAATGATCTTTTTTAAGAAAATATTTAAGCTATTGCTATTTATTTATGAACTTCATGGAATTGAAAAAGTTATTTATATGAACATATATGCAGACAATAAGCAACTGCCAAACCTTCATAGACAATAATTTAATAATTGATGACAATAATAACAAGAAGGTTTGGTGAAACAATGGCACAGAAAATATGTTCAGCACGATCGCTGAAACTTTTAGGTATTTTTTAGATTTTTTATTTTGGCACTAATAGCAAATAATTCAACGATGAAAAACTTTAGAAACATAGCAATAAAAAAACCAATATTGAAAATATATTGATTGAAACAAAAAAAATAAAAAGTGGAATGATGCGTCACTCTTATGACGTAAATTTTGAAATAGTACAACCCGATTCTCGATGATAAGCGAACGTAACTAAAACGAATTAATTATCGAAACGTCAATATTTTAACAATGGCCTGGCGAGTTCTGATAATTAATGCATTACTCGAAAACGCTACTCTTTATGAGGCGAAATATGAGAAAAGCATTAATAAGTTTATTCAGGTACAATTCGTATCATAGATGAGGTTATGTTATTTAAGCCTTTCAAATTTAAATGTAATCACAAATACGGATCCTAACAGAAACGTATCTGAAACGTATATGAAAGTATTCATAAGAAAGTGATAAAATGAAAGTATTAGTATGTTAAGATATAAAGTACTGTAGGGCTCTATTTGTTGGGACCTGATCTCTTCGAGTGAATTCTCATCCTGCGCACCGACAAGAGAATCTTCCGTAAAATTGATAACCTCTTCAAACATATTTTTTTTCATTACTTTATTTGAAATTGAATCACAGATTATTCACAATATTATCTACAAAATTTTAATTTTATTAATATGGAACAGCATATTATAATAATATTTTGAAATTAAAATGTAGTATTTATGGTGATCTATTCGTGATTTTTCTGAATATAGAATAATATATTTATTAAACAAATCATCACAAAATACAAAGTATAAAATAAACTGATACACAATTTATCTTTAACAACGAACAATTAATATAATCTATATTCAATGAAACTCGATTAATAGATTCGTAACACAATACAAAAATAGTATAAAGAAAATCGATAAATTAATCGAGTATTAATCGAGTTAAATCGAATATAATCGATATTCATAGTTTTCATTGAAATCACCACTAGAATGCGCTCTTGAAGTTTAGATAGTTTACGCGCGATGTACAGTAAACGTTGTGTTTGAAGAGGTTACACAGTTTAGCTATCACAATTTAGAAATTCGTGAATATGTCGGTATGTTACTCGAGGTTTCTTGTGAACGTTGAAATGTTTCTTGAAAATGGTGTATAGACGCTATCGAGATCCTGGAGTTTTTTTAGAACAATGGTGCCACGGTTCGGATACATCGAGTTCTACTGTACGTATTTGATGAAAGTATATCCATGAAAGTTCGAACATCAGTTCGAGAATTAGGAATACGTCGCGTTATTATACATAATATATTGTCCTAGGTGTTTGTATTTCATATTATTACACAAACATATATTCATATTTGGGCATTTACACAAACACACATGGGCATTTACACACATACACAATATACGTACAAAAAATATATATATATTTCGTTACTAAATTCGAATGTTGTTAGGTATTTTGATCATCAATTTCAAAGAACAAAATATATGCGTGTTGAGAATAAAATGATATTCAATTTATTATATTGTTTTATGAGTGAATCGTAACGATATAAATGTATATAGATCGTACGTTGAAAAATACAAACATACAAACATCGATCGATCGTTTATAAATTGAATTAAAATCGAATTAAAATGTTAAAAAATTATTATAGTTAAATCGAATATAAATAAGATAAAAATTTATTCCATATTCAAACAACATATACATTAAATTCGAATTATATCGTGACTAAAATTATATAATCATAATTATATATAGTAAAATTTCGTGTCATATAAGAGAAGTTTGATAATTTTGATATTATATAATAATTGGAAAAAGTAATTCTTTGATATATATTTACATCAAAAACGATCGGTCGAAAATTCATTATACATGTCAAACTAAATCATAAAAGTATATAAAATACTATACCTTCATTATTCGAAGAGCCCCTTTTCGTTGCCCAAAAATTCACGAGATTAGTCAATTTGCGCGATATCTTTCTAAAAAAATTATAGGCACATAATATGAGATATTATATATAAATATACGAGTATATATATATATATATATATATATATATATATATATATAT